TTCTTTAATGTTTATAAGTTGGTTTAAAACTTTGTTAATCAAAATCATAGCAACAGTCACTGTTATACACAGTTTAACCCTACTGAGACGGGTCTTCCTGTGGTCATGGGTCAAAGGCCATCTTTGTAGACATACATTCAAAATTTTATTGACCTACTATTTTATGAATGTATGTCAATAAGTTTGGTATCAAATTATAGATTATACGTTAGTTAATTTCTTAATTTAAAAGTAGATATTAAAAAAAACACACCTAAATATCGATTTTTGGTGTCACATGGTATGTTGAATGTAACATTGGTTCAGATGTTTATGGTATCCAAATACAAAGTATCATTTCTTATGAATTAGGAACTCAAAGCACATATATTGACAAGCTAGAAGATAAGAACCTCCTATCTTTCCTACTTGCTATGATATAGCTACACTTAGAGAATCAAACATGGTAGATTCAAACTGGTAAAACATTATTAAGCTTGAAATATCACATTTTTTTAGACCCAAATATGGCCAAGTTACTAAGTTTGATAAATTATTGTGGAATTCTGTGGTATTGATGTAGTAATTTATGATTTTTGGTTATTTCAAAATGCACATATACCCCCCCCCCCCCAAAAAAAATAATTTTTTTTTTACATTCTCCAAGTGTGAAATTTGTTAACGCTACAGCAAGTAGCAACCGAGTTCACAGGTCGTAACTAGAAGTTATTTGTTTTCTATACTTCTTTATTTACTGTTCTATGTTTTAAGAAAAATAAGTTTAAGAACTTGTTTGTAAATAATAATAATGTATAATAATTGAAACGTGACTATTTAACAAAATACTGGTCCAATAAAACACAGTCAAGACAGGTCACTTTGTAATCGCCAGTTCTATATTATTGGATACGGCAACGTAAGTGTACATGTGCCCACATAATTGCAACTTCTGTATTGTTAGCCAGGCATGGCTGGAAGGTCAATATAATAAAAACAATAATTTTTATATATGTAAAATGTTATGAGATTTAAGCTATTTCGTGTTATAATCTGTAGTGATTCTAGAATGAGAAAAGTATAACTTATATGTATTTCCTATTCTTTTATGGTGGTTACAAGGTCGGTTGAATTGACCCAACCCATACAGAGATACAATAGTGAAAATAACAGATAAAATATAATTTGATAATTATCTGGAGGATATTAGGAGGTTATAGAGATTTTGCATGGGAAATTTGACAGTTTTCTGATGCATAAATATTTTTAATCTTAAAATCAAAATTACTTCACATGTTGGATAGTCAACATTCAAAAATGAGCAAATAATTAATTACAAAAACTTATACCTTGTGACTGAATTTTTTGTACTGTTTACTGATAATCTGTAAATTTTTGTGAAGATACGTGTACACTTTAAAAAGTTACCGTATAACTGCTCTATGATTACTTTTGGGAATACAGGCTGGGTGGAAACCACCTACCCATATTAGAAGGGTTAAGAACCTGTAGATGTATGGAAAAACTTGCCAGCTTTCAAATACTCAAACTAGCAAACATCAGAAAGATACCTGAAGGATCTTATCTCCTGGTCTTAGAGCTGTACTGGCTGGCCCATTATCCTCAACATGAGATACATAGATACCCTAGGAATCAAAGAAAGGACAATATAATCCACAGAAATTACAAATCTAGGTATTTCTCTATCCTAATGATGCATTTGTAATTACTTGAGCGAAGGAGGTGCATGAATTTAAAATGTCTTGCATTCAAGAAAACAACATAATTAAGAAACCAAGCATTTAGAAGTCACAGACTACTAAGTATAAAACCAGCATTAACCCAGTTATAAGAGGTTGGACTCATCATATCGAACTATTTTTAGAATAAAAAAAATTACCTGTGATAAAAACCTGAAATATGGCAATAAGTTACTCTGAAGAATGTAGCAGAAAAAATCTCTTAAAAAATAACACGTGACCTAAACACAAAAAATTATTAATTTCAAAACACTTTATTTTCAAACTTGAAGTGCTCACTCAAAGTCAAACTGTCAGTTTACCACATAACACAAGGTGACTGACTCAAAGTCAAACTGTCAGTTTACCACATAACACAAGGTGACTCACTCAAAGTCAAACTGTCAGCTTACCACATAACACAAGGTGACTCGCTCAAAGTCAAACTGTCAGCTCACCACATAACACAAGGTGACTCACTCAAAGTCAAACTGTCAGCTTACCACATAACACAAGGTGACTGACTCAAAGTCAAACTGTCAGCTTACCACATAACACCAGATGACTCACTCAAATTCAAACTGTCAGCTTACCACATAACACAAAATGACTCAGTCCAAACCAAACTTTCAGCTTACTGCCAACTACAAAGCGACTTATTCAAGATTTTCAAACTGGCACAAACCAGTTACAGAAGAAACCAAAAGTTACAAAGACAGAACAGGTTCTGGTTGATTTCAAAGTTTGGTTTAGGAACTATTCTTCTCACAAGCTACGAAACTCCACAAACAGAACAGGTTCTGGTTGATTTCAAAGTTTGGTTTAGGAACTATTCTTCTTACAAGCTACGAAACTCCACAAACAGAACAGGTTCTGGTTGATTACAAAGTTTGGTTTAGGAACTCTTCTTCTCACAAGCTACGAAACTCCACAAACTTGGGGACTTTCTTTCACATCCACGAAATCCTAATTACGTACACTGACATAAAGCTTTCATCCCTACTTTCAACTTGTGTGACTGTTATGATACTTTGTAGCTTTTCAATCTGCTTGAATATACTTATTTCAGGCTTTATCAACAGATATCAGCACATCTGAAATGATGACATGAATTGCTACCTGTTACACTGCTGCACAGTTTATTATATGGGTCTTATTGTCTGAAGCCAGAAAGATTTTATAATCTTAATGATCAATACAAACAAAGTTTTTCTGTAAACTAGTTCATTCCAACAGTTATATATTTATCAAGACATACTTAACACAAGATTAACATCAAATGCACAACATACTATAGGCTACAATCAAAACTATTGTATTATATGTTATGAAATCAAATACTTTTTCCTACTGACCGTGTCTTGAAGTTTGTTGGGGTTTTGAAGATTTCCTGCTCCACCTGTAATACTGAAGCCTAAATCAGGGTTCTTAGTTATCATCACGGGACACTACAATAATGAAATTTAAAAAAAAAGTGTAATATTAATTATTTAGGGTTTGTTTAGTTACAATAACCCTAATAATCCTGTCATTTACTTCATTAAAGCCTGAATGTATTGTATATAAAACTCATCAGAGCAGAAACAGGAGATTTCATTATAAAATCCTGTCCTGTTATAAATACCTTAATTCTACTATATATCTAACAATGTACAGTCCAACTATATACATTGTTAGGTATATAGTAGAATTAAGGTGTTTATAACAGGACAGACAGTCCAACTATAAAAGGTGTTTATAACAGGACAGATAGTAGAATGTACCTAAAAGGGCACAGTTTGACTGCATGTACCCACTGCTGTACAGTAGTTGACTGGTTGTAACCAGTAAATGAAGGTGTAGTCAGATGGCATGAAGTGAAGTAATATCTGTCAACTGACGTTATAAGTTAGTGAATGAAGGGGTAATCTAATATTTTGAACATACCACTTGTGTGTTCTTATGAGTACCAAAAATCCAAGGCTTGTTCAGTTGCTGTGGAGAAGACTGACCTTCATCGTGCTCGTTTCTATGGTTATCAAACAAACTGCCAGTAGGGGAAAACTGAGTTTCTACACCTGCAGGACAGTTTACAGTTCTGGCTCCACTGCTAGAGCACGGAGAAACACGTTTGCCCTCTGACACAACTCTGTCCACTTGTATAGAATGTGAAGTATGAGTTTCGACTTCTTTGTTTTCATGTTTTGAGGAATGGGCAGGTAAAATGGGAGAAAAATGAATATCATGCAACCTCTCTGTTATTTGTTTACTGTCTAATAAGTGATTTGATTGTTGCTGTTCCACAGATTGACCATATTCTCTAGCACCAACAGGTAATGACCTAAACTTCAGGACTGGTAACTCACCTTCCATATCTTTCCCATGTAATAAGCCAGCTGTTTGAAAAGAAGGTTTTGGAGGTAATGGAGGAGGATCAGATGACAGTAGTTTGTCTTCATTATATGATTTTTCCCTTGGAGATGGTGGTAAACTTTTAGCAGGAGGTTCTTGTGCATCTGGTAAACTTTTAGCAGGAGATTCTTGTGCATCTGGTACAAAGTTCACACATATATCTAATCCATTAATATAACACTGACTTGGGTCTCCTCTGGGTGGTCCAAGCAGTTGTTTTGTAGAGCTATCTGGAGAGGCAGAGTTCATGCTTGAAAAAGATGATGGCCGAGAGGAGTGGCGAGATAGGGATGAGCGAACACTGGATGGTCTATCATTACCACTAGATGGACAGAAAGAATTTATAAAAGAGCCTGATTGGCAGTATTCCACATCATTTATTAGTGGTGGATTTGTCCTTTCAGTTACTAAACCATAACCGGCTGGTCTGTTTTGCTGATTTCCAACAGATGACTCTGCATGTGTCCAGCTGGCACTACTACCAGGAGAGAGAAACCCTTTTGGAATAGCAGGAGATTGGCTAGCTGCTCCAGCTGGGTCATACCACTGAAGCTCTTGACCTGGGTGTGTTGTTATGACTTGAGACACGTGCTGGTAAGTTTCTGAGCAACTTAACTGAGGTTTAGTACCAAAAGTAAGACTGTTTCCTGGCAATACAATATAATACAAATTACAACTTTGTTTTGTAAGATGTTCTACAGTTAACAGCTTAGTTAACATCTAAATTCTTAACAAGTCTGAATCTCATTTGACCAGTATAATCACCTTTCTGCAATTTGTTGAAACAATGGAACAGTTACAGAATGCCTCCACTATTAAACACCGTTGTAATAAATAAAACTGCATTCATCCTTAAGGTTTAATCTAACTACATGAAAAATTGAGGAATTGCATCTTTCAAACCAACCTTCTTAATTATTATTCTCAAAACTGAAAACAGTGAGAAAAATTAACATTTTGCTAAATTGAAAATGTATTTCCAATAATACCTCCGCTGACACTTATAGCTATGACTTTACCACCAGGTTTTCTTCCTTTGCCCATCTAAGCATTGGTCTAATTTTTCTTGCATGCTCCAGTCTTTTATACCCCACTCAATTACCTTTGTCTTGTGATACTCTCCACCTACATCAATGAGCCTTCTATCCTGGTATTGTATACAAGCACCTCATTCAAATAATGTTATCACTTTTTTTTAAGACTGACTCCATCCCAGTCTCTAACACTGGCTTTTAGAGGGGAGAAAGGGCAGGAGAATGTCAGCAGAGGTAAGCATTATTGGAAATACATTTTCAATGTAAGAAAATGTTAACTGCCAAAACATACTTACCATTCACTGACACTTACAGCTAGAATCCCACATTGAGAAGGTGGAGGGGCTGATGAGGGCATTATCCATACAGAAAGTGTCTGCACAGAACATGGGTGTATCATGATAAGATTGGCACATGAATGGGGGAACCTAACTGCATCCAAAACAGGTATGCTCTTCACCAGGAACTTAATTCCTGTATCAAGGGTGGAATGTTACGAGTGTTTATCGCTATGTGCCAGCCCCAACCAGGGGTTTCACTACTCAGGGGTTGGAACTAAGGGGCCTAGGTACCTATATCCCACATTGGTGGCTTGGGCAATTAGACCTCAATGTTATATTTATATATATATACTTTTGATTGGATCCCAACCAGTAGCCATAGAGTGATGTGTTCCAAACCACCAGAATCATGACGAGAAAGTAAGCAACACCAAAGCAGATAAACCATCTCTTCCACCTGAAGAAGTCTGAAAGGCAACAATCCAAGCTCAGAATGACAGGATCATGTATTCATTACTCAACCAAAAAACAGAACTCATCTGATCTGGAATTATGAACATTCATCCTTACTCCCCAACCACTCGCCCTTGGAATTATGGGGAGGACATGGAACAAACTGTGCTCAACCAAGGACCCAGGATGGGACCACTCTATGTTTGGAATTATGAAGAGATAGTGGACCCCCTTCCATGAGCAATGTACTGAACCAATATTGATCATAAAGAAGGGCCATGCACACCCCAACTGAATAGCCGAGCATCAAATCTGAACTGGTATTAGAAGTAGGCTCCCATGTAGGCTGCTACCACTCCTACCAATGTCTGGAGAAAAATTCCAGGGACCTGGGTAGGAGGGCCCCCACCTTTGCTCTCTTCTCTAAGAGTGGAGGAATTCACACAAACTCTGGAGGAAAAGCCTCTGTCCACCACCCCAGTGACTGGAAACCGTGTGGTAAGAACACCCTAGATCCACTAGTAGAATATGGGGGATAATGCGCAGTGGGAAACCATGAGGAACAGTGCTCTGGAAACAGTGCAATAGGTGAACCAAGTTCCCTTAAATTTTAAAAGCAAGCCGACCCCAATTTATTCAATCCGAAGACTGGTAGGGATGGGCAGGATCACCTTTAGCTTTACTCATGATAGTCCATGAGTGGCAGTCCAGCATAGTATGATAATACCACATAGTGAACTCCTAGGTGGTCTTATGGAACACCTCATTTCTACAGAGCCTGGTGCAACCGGTAGTAAGTACAGTGAAAAAGTGGTTGCTAGTGTGGAATTGGATTGATAAAAGCACACCTACCTTGGCAACACTCACTACAGAGTGGGATCCAATGAAACAAAACAAAAAAAGAGGAGCCTCAAAACCCCCAGACCGAATATACGTTTCCATCTCACGGTGAGTCAGATCACGGACAGCCACAACTGAGAGTGACCCCCTTCCTCTCGCAACTGTTGAGAGGCGCTAAATAACAAAGGTGGAATAGAGGAGGTCTGATTAGTCTCCGTGCTGTAAACAGTAACCCAGGAATTCATGCCTGAAAACAGTGTGTTGAAATAAAAAGATATTTTGTTTTTATATTTATTAAAATATTATTGAATTAAAATCAATTATCCAATGCAAAAATTGCACAAGAATGTTAACTATCATAACACTTCTTTAGGAAAACCAATGTCTAAGCACTTTATTGAGAAAAAGTGATAACTATCTGAATGAGGTGATTATATACCAGGATAGAAGGTGCACTGACGTAAGTAGAGAGTATCATGAGACAAATATCACCAAGGTAATTAAGTGGGATATAAAAGATTGGAGCAAGCGAGAAAAAATCAGACCAATTCTTAGATGGGCAAAGGAATAAAACCTGGAAGCTGAGTATTAGCTATAAGTGTCAGTGGAAGTAAGTATGTTTTGGAATTTATATTCTGTTTTTAAAGATATGTTTTCAATAAATGTTGATATTCTTTCAATATATGTCTGCATTTTTGGGTAGAAAATGTTCCTACTTACAAAGAGTATCACACAGAACTTTATAAGATGTGTTCTTAATTCTATAAGACAACATTTTAAAAAATCCTGAATTTCCCCTAGTGTGACACACATGACACATCTTCTCTACTCTATTATATTCACCACCCCTCCAATAACTAGGAAATTAAACATTAATTACTCACTCATCATTTCTCAGCAAACCACAATTTTTTATAGCCTTCAATTTTTCTTGGTTACAGAGCTAACAAATAGAAAATCAGACCCCTCCTGTTACATCCTATCTTTCAGGACATGTTAATAGTTCTCTCTTACGTTCAATAATATATTACCTATAACCAATAGAAAGCCAAAAAAAAAACTCGGGTAACTACTTTATTTGTTGTTTTTCATGTTTATTCTTTATTTATTATTATAAAAGCAATTAAAATGTAAAAATAGGGATCTCTTTAGGTGAGTTAAGCTTAGATTAGGTAAAATAAATAATAATAATATATAAACGAGTCTGTGTTGAGAGAGTTAATACGTACCTTCCTGAGGATTTCTGTAGTTGGAGAGAGGGATGTGATATCTTCTGATTTGCTCTGGATGATCAGTGCTTGATACAATGTTAGTGTGAGACCCTATGTCTGATGTACTGAAATGGGACAATGCTTCCTGCATGGACAACGACGTGGTACAAGATGGAGTTGGTGAACGAAGATGAAATCCAGAGGAACTTGAACTATGAGAATGCACAGCCACAGATGAAGGTGACTGTTGTTCCTGATAATCACAGCCATTAGAAGAGTAATGAGGTAAGTTCCAATGAGAGGATGGTGGTCTTAGAGGATGATGGAACACAGTAAGTAGAGGAGAGCGCACATCTAAAGGTAGGACACTTGACTGAGGAATATACATCTGTGAATCCTGCAAACTAGGTGCAATGTTTGGAAACCTTGAAGCTACTTCAATAGGATAGCCTGAGTAAGCAAGAGGGGGATGATTCCTAACTACAGGAAATCCAAGTCGTTGATTTGATGTGAGTTTTGTGGAGGGAATTGGTTGAGCTTGGGGCCTGGGAAGAGAAGTTTGAGATGGAAGTACAACTTGTGAGAAGTCCTGATCATTGACTTTATGCGAGTGAGGAAATCTTACAGTCGGTGGAGAAACTCCAATGGACCTCTTTGGGTTGGTACAGGGAGATGGAGACTGTCTTGGATTGTACTGCAAGGATGCATAATGGGGTTGCACGGAACCTCTGGTGGATCCATAAGATAAACTGGAACCAGACTGGTTCTGTGTCTCAGGGATAAATACTACATCTTTAGGCTCATCAGGACTAGAATGTTGAAGATTCTGAAAGGATTAATTACACATTAAGTTCCATGGGAAAAGTAATATAAAAAAAAAAGCACTGTAACAATATTTTGTGAGTTTTTGACTGCAATGTTCAGTTTTGTTTACACGAAACTTAAGAATTCTGATAAAAGATCTAATCAACCAAATACAGATCGACTGACTGCTTGAGAATAAATGTATATGTAAACACTAATTATAATGCTTCTTTTTAAGTAAGTATTTTAATCAAATGAAACAATCAAATTCTTGTATGATTTTTAAACTGACTGCTTGAGAACAAATGTATATGTAAACACTAATTATAATGCTTCTTTTTAAGTAAGTATTTTAATCAAATGAAACAATCAAATTCTTGTATGATTTTTAAACAATGTACACACATCCTACATGTATAGACTTTTATGTTTCCTTACAATACCCACCTATAGCCAAGGTTATATTCCTATTTAATAGTGTATTATTTAAGATTAACTATACATAAATTGAAAACCATCTGCTCTTTTATTGTAAATATTTTATAAATCTGACAAAAGAAAATATACTCACAGGAAGAGAAGGTCTCAAATGCTGGTCTCTTTCATTAATCTGGTACTGCTGTTGTTCTTCATTTTCGGAACCATTATCAATGTAGTCAAAACCCTCGGTACTTTTATCCCACCTATGTGCAGAGCCCTGCAATTGATTATGGACTGAAGCACTGTTGTGAACAGCTGGTACTTGACCATTTGTAGGAATTCTCGTTGGAACCGGATCTTCACGTGAAGTTACACGAGTACAAAGAGGTGTATGCAAGTTACTAAGAGAGATTTCTCTTCCTGCTTCAGTCTCCCAGTCACTAAAATATCCATCCTGAGGCTCCAACTGTTCCCTATGCAAGAGGTACACTTCGTGATCACTGCGATAACCCTGTTCACAATCCACATTTTCTTCTCTCTTCAACCTTGACTTGAACCTTGTAGACGTTGCACCCCTATTCTTCACGAAACCAGTAGAAACCCGTAGATTGGGTGAATCATGGTTATCAGGTGGTTGGGCTACTCCTTGGGATGGAGAGGATTTAACACTGACACATAGTGAGTCTAATGACCGTTCACTGGACGAAGCATTTCCTTTGGATTCTACGCAGAAAATTTAGCAGTGATATCATATAGAATATTCAATGGTGAAAGCCAAAAAAATTACGACCAAATATTTTTGGAAGTGATACACATTTATAGTGATAAATATTTTAGTTAACCTGTTACTTTTTAATATCTGTTATGAAAAACATGAAAATATAGATAACAATTTTGTATGAACAACACAAAATAAAGCCTCCTGAGGTTCAATTGTACCATTCCTGGTGTATGTTATGTCCTCTAAATAACATTAGTTAATCTACCCAAGAAACATTTCTTACCTCTTATAGGTGATGTTTTAACCACCAGAGGGAGTTCTACAGATGTGTCTGTATCACTCTGAAAAGACACATGATTAATGTATGAACAAAACGTAATATGAAAGATATACAGATCATTATATACAGGGATCATCGAGTACACAGTAAGTACTGCTCAGAAACCTGTAACACGTTAGTTGTCGCTAAGATAACATGTATAGCACAATCTTACCTTGGAATTTGCTACACAGTTTGATAAGACTGCTTTCTGTGTTTTATAATCATGTTTTTCTTTGCGTGTGTG